CCCGACCCCAGACCAGACTGCGCTGGATCTCATTAGCTATGGCATTCATGCTCGTGTGCTTACGTTCGAGCACAAAGCAGTTCAGGTAGCACTTGCCCGACCACCGCTCGAGCTGGGAAGCAACATGGTGGAGGCAGTGAAACTTGATTGCCATTTCCTGCTCACCATACGAGGTTTTGTAGGCCTTCAGGTACGCGCCGACCACGCGCTGCAAACCTGCAACGTTGACTGTGTACCGAGGAGGCGCCGGGCGCTTATAGAGGCAGCCCGCCCGCCGCCCCCTGGGGGCGCCTCCGAGGCATCGGCCTGCCGCCGGGTGCGGCGCGGGGAGCCGAAGAGCCCCGGCCACGCCGCCTCCTCCGTGGCCGCCAGCTCGCCGCTCGCCTGGCGGATGTCGTCTTCGGCGCGGACGGCGGCAGCGGCGACGGCGGCGCGCGCCGCTCGTCTGGCGGGCGTGGTCTCCGACCGACGTCGCCGCCGCGACCGTCGTCAGCGTGATTCGCGTCGTCGTCGTCGTCACAATCGTCGTCGTCCCCCTCCTCCTCCTCCTCCTCCTCCTCGTCCTCCTCCTCCTCCTCTTCCTCCTCCTCCTCCTCCTCCTCCTCCTCCTCCTCCTCCTCCTCTGCCTCCTCCTACTCCTTCTTCTGCTCATCATTTTCCGCCTCTCCTCCTCCTCCTCATCCTCATCCTCCTCCTCCTCCGCCTCCTCCCCCTCCTCCTCCTCCTCCTCCTCCTCCTCCTCCTCCTCCTCCTCCTCCTCCTCCTCGCCTCCCCCTCTTCATCCTCCTCTTCCTCCTCCTCCTCTTGCCCCTCCTCCTCCCCCTTCTTCCGCTCATCCTCCTCCTTCGACGCATCCTCCTCCTCCTCGTCCTCCTCCTCCTCCTCCTCCTCCTTCTCCTCCTCCTCCTCCTCCTCCTGCTCCCGCTGTTCATCTGACTCATTCTTCCTCCTCCTCCCCTCCTCCTCCTCCTCCTCTCCTCCTCCTCCTCTCTTCTCCTCCTCTCCTCCCTCCTCCTCATCCTCCTCCTCATCATCATCATCATCATCATCAGCATCATCATCATCATCATCAGCATCAGCATCATCATCATCATCATCATCATCATCATCATCATCATCATCATTCAGCATCAGCATCATCATCATCATCATCATCATCATCATCATCATCATCATCATCATCATCATCATCATCATCATCATCATCATATATCCTCCCCTGTTCATCTGACTCTTCCTCTCCTCCTCCTCTCCTCCTCCTCTCCTCCTCCTCCTCCTCCTCCTCCCCCTCCCCCTCCTCCTCCTACTCCTCTCTGCCTCCTCCTTTCCTCATCCTCCTCCTCCCTCTCTCTCCTCCTCCTCCTCCTCCCTCATCATCATCATCCTCATCATCATCATCATCATCAGCATCATCATCATCATCATCATCATCATCATCATCATCATCATCATCATCATCATCATCATCATCATCATCATCATCATCATCATCATCATCATCATCATCATCATCATCATCATCATCATCATCATCATCATCATCATCATCATCATCATCATCATCATCATCATCATCATCATCATCATCATCATCATCATCATCATCATCATCATCATCATCATCATCATCATCATCATCATCATCCTGTTCCTACTCTACCGCGCCGAGCGAGCCGCGGGAGCCCCAGAGTCCCGCGAGTCCCCTCCCGCTCAGCCCAGCAGTGGCCGCGGAGTGGGCGTGGAAAGGATGTCCCTTGGCCTCGGCTCTGAGCTAAGGTGGCAGTCTCCTCTGTGGCGCGTCTAATCTGGCAATTCCCCCATAACAAACATCTTCTCCCAGACCTGCCCTAGGGTGTGTTGCTATTAGCAAGGATTGCGAGGCGGACCTGGCCGTTGCAGCGAGAAAGCCCCCTTGGAGGCTCCCAAAAAAAAAATCCAGAAGCGCCCAAAAACCTCGAGCGTCAATCCCCTCAGTCTCGCGGACGGGGCGACCGCTCCTGTCCTGGGGGGCAACAATCAGGGGGGGAACCGACTCAGGGGGAAACACATCGGCATGGAATCGACGAATCATCGCCGATAACTCGGCGACTGGCCCCCCAATAGCGAGGACCCACGCTCCTGGGCGGAGCGAGCAATCGGGTCCCTGTCGGCGATGAGTGTCGGGGGGGGGGGGGGGGCGATGCCTTCCCCCCTGAGCCTATGCCCCCTCACGTTGACCCGGATCCCCAACGCGACCGCTCCTTTCCGCGGCCCCCAGCTCGCCGGAAGAGAGGGGAGGCAGGGGGCGCATCAGGGCCCAGAAGGCGTGTGCGCGGACGGGGGGGGGAGCGGGGCAAAGGACGCACGGAGAGAAGCGGAGGGGCGCCACAAAGCCTGGGCAGATCTCGTGGCCCAGGGGCCCAAGGCAGGCTCTCCTCCCTCTGATCCTCCACCCCCCCTCTTCGACGCCGAGTGGTTTTCGCCCCCCAGAGCTCGGGCGCCTCCGGCGGGCCGTGAGGAA